GCCGGTACATAAAATGCCCTATAGGAGATATTATCACCTGAAAACAGTAACCCACAGAAAATGGGCCCTTTTCTTGACCCACAAAACACAATGATCATTTGCTAAATCAATTATTCTCTCTGTTACTGTTCTAGACATTTGCTTTGCGTCAAACCTCTCGGAAACCGAGTAAGCAGAAGGCCGATAATATGTGAAGGATTTATTTTTGTCAAAAAAGTAAGATAGAAAATTAGCTTTGGCCTATTCACATTCCCAGGCAGTAGCTGATACAATATAATTAAAGCACTGGCAGAGCTACCAGGGTCACAGCGGTCGCAATTGCGACCGGGCCCTGGCGTTCCGCCTGTTGGGGGGCCCAGCGAGGAAGAAGAGGGCCCCCCGGAGATAGTGCAGCTCCTTTCCTGCCACTCTGCCACCCGCAGCATGTATGGGCAGCTGTGTGGCGGGGCTGGAGAGGCTGTCACTTGTCCAGCAGAATGTGCTGCTGGCACCGCCAGGCACCACATTCTGTAGTGTAAGAGAGGATCCTCTCCACTTAGCCCCGCCCCCTGGCCGCTGAGACACGGAAGAAGGTGCTGCAGGACAGGTAAGGTAAATCTGGACCGGGAAGGGGGGGGCGCAGGGAAGTGTGGGGGGGGGGAGCTGCTGGTATTCTGCATTGCTGATTTTTATTATAATGTATTGCTTAGTTACAAGTCCCAGCAATGTATTATATTTTTAAGTAGGGATACACCACTGCGAATATAGTACTCATACTCGTGAAAATGCCCCGATACTAAACGCAGATACCGGTGTTCTGTCGAGAACGCCGACGTAGTCGAATCTGCCGACCTCAGCATCCTGCGTTTTCGCACAGACTAGTATTATCGAGGAAAGCGGGATTTATTTAGAAAGTATTTAGTATAAATGGTTATTTGTTGCTATTAATAATATTCCATCATTTGCCACCATGCATGCCATATTATTACCGGTCACAATGAACAATTACAAACAAATACTTTGTAAATAAATCCCGTCTGTAGTAAGCGCAGATACTGGGTCAGCATTTTCCACAGAACACCGGCACTAAAATTTTAAACAAGCGGCTGTCAGAGGTCCCGCGCTTGCTGGGGACCTCTGCAGGTTCCAGTTACGCCTCTGAATTAAAGTAACAATAAACTCAGGAGTTAAACATTAGAAATGCATTTGAGTATGAACAACAATGTATTTTACTTGTGAATCACTGGGCTGTAGAACTCTGTGATAAGGGTGATATGGGAGAGACTCTGTGATAGGGGGGATATGGGAGAGACTCTGTGATAGGGGGGATATGGGAGAGACTCTGTGATAGGGGGGATATGGGAGAGACTCTGTGATAGGGGGGATATGGGAGAGACTCTGTGATAGGGGGGATATGGGAGAGACTCTGTGATAGGGGGGATATGGGAGAGACTCTGTGATAGGGGGGATATGGGAGAGACTCTGTGATAGGGGGGATATGGGAGAGACTCTGTGATAGGGGGGATATGGGAGAGACTCTGTGATAGGGGGGATATGGGAGAGACTCTGTGATAGGGGGGATATGGGAGAGACTCTGTGATAGGGGGGATATGGGAGAGACTCTGTGATAGGGGGGATATGGGAGAGACTCTGTGATAGGGGGGATATGGGAGAGACTCTGTGATAGGGGGGATATGGGAGAGACTCTGTGATAGGGGGGATATGGGAGAGACTCTGTGATAGGGGGGATATGGGAGAGACTCTGTGATAGGGGGGATATGGGAGAGACTCTGTGATAGGGGGGATATGGGAGAGACTCTGTGATAGGGGGGATATGGGAGAGACTCTGTGATAGGGGGGATATGGGAGAGACTCTGTGATAGGGGGGATATGGGAGAGACTCTGTGATAGGGGGGATATGGGAGAGACTCTGTGATAGGGGGGATATGGGAGAGACTCTGTGATAGGGGGGATATGGGAGAGACTCTGTGATAGGGGGGATATGGGAGAGACTCTGTGATAGGGGGGATATGGGAGAGACTCTGTGATAGGGGGGATATGGGAGAGACTCTGTGATAGGGGGGATATGGGAGAGACTCTGTGATAGGGGGGATATGGGAGAGACTCTGTGATAGGGGGGATATGGGAGAGACTCTGTGATAGGGGGGATATGGGAGAGACTCTGTGATAGGGGGGATATGGGAGAGACTCTGTGATAGGGGGGATATGGGAGAGACTCTGTGATAGGGGGGATATGGGAGAGACTCTGTGATAGGGGGGATATGGGAGAGACTCTGTGATAGGGGGGATATGGGAGAGACTCTGTGATAGGGGGGATATGGGAGAGACTCTGTGATAGGGGGGATATGGGAGAGACTCTGTGATAGGGGGGATATGGGAGAGACTCTGTGATAGGGGGGATATGGGAGAGACTCTGTGATAGGGGGGATATGGGAGAGACTCTGTGATAGGGGGGATATGGGAGAGACTCTGTGATAGGGGGGATATGGGAGAGACTCTGTGATAGGGGGGATATGGGAGAGACTCTGTGATAGGGGGGATATGGGAGAGACTCTGTGATAGGGGGGATATGGGAGAGACTCTGTGATAGGGGGGATATGGGAGAGACTCTGTGATAGGGGGGATATGGGAGAGACTCTGTGATAGGGGGGATATGGGAGAGACTCTGTGATAGGGGGGATATGGGAGAGACTCTGTGATAGGGGGGATATGGGAGAGACTCTGTGATAGGGGGGATATGGGAGAGACTCTGTGATAGGGGGGATATGGGAGAGACTCTGTGATAGGGGGGATATGGGAGAGACTCTGTGATAGGGGGGATATGGGAGAGACTCTGTGATAGGGGGGATATGGGAGAGACTCTGTGATAGGGGGGATATGGGAGAGACTCTGTGATAGGGGGGATATGGGAGAGACTCTGTGATAGGGGGGATATGGGAGAGACTCTGTGATAGGGGGGATATGGGAGAGACTCTGTGATAGGGGGGATATGGGAGAGACTCTGTGATAGGGGGGATATGGGAGAGACTCTGTGATAGGGGGGATATGGGAGAGACTCTGTGATAGGGGGGATATGGGAGAGACTCTGTGATAGGGGGGATATGGGAGAGACTCTGTGATAGGGGGGATATGGGAGAGACTCTGTGATAGGGGGGATATGGGAGAGACTCTGTGATAGGGGGGATATGGGAGAGACTCTGTGATAGGGGGGATATGGGAGAGACTCTGTGATAGGGGGGATATGGGAGAGACTCTGTGATAGGGGGGATATGGGAGAGACTCTGTGATAGGGGGGATATGGGAGAGACTCTGTGATAGGGGGGATATGGGAGAGACTCTGTGATAGGGGGGATATGGGAGAGACTCTGTGATAGGGGGGATATGGGAGAGACTCTGTGATAGGGGGGATATGGGAGAGACTCTGTGATAGGGGGGATATGGGAGAGACTCTGTGATAGGGGGGATATGGGAGAGACTCTGTGATAGGGGGGATATGGGAGAGACTCTGTGATAGGGGGGATATGGGAGAGACTCTGTGATAGGGGGGATATGGGAGAGACTCTGTGATAGGGGGGATATGGGAGAGACTCTGTGATAGGGGGGATATGGGAGAGACTCTGTGATAGGGGGGATATGGGAGAGACTCTGTGATAGGGGGGATATGGGAGAGACTCTGTGATAGGGGGGATATGGGAGAGACTCTGTGATAGGGGGGATATGGGAGAGACTCTGTGATAGGGGGGATATGGGAGAGACTCTGTGATAGGGGGGATATGGGAGAGACTCTGTGATAGGGGGGATATGGGAGAGACTCTGTGATAGGGGGGATATGGGAGAGACTCTGTGATAGGGGGGATATGGGAGAGACTCTGTGATAGGGGGGATATGGGAGAGACTCTGTGATAGGGGGGATATGGGAGAGACTCTGTGATAGGGGGGATATGGGAGAGACTCTGTGATAGGGGGGATATGGGAGAGACTCTGTGATAGGGGTGATATGGGAGAGACTCTGTGGTAGGGGTGATATGGGAGAGACTCTGTGATAGGGGTGGTATGGGAGAGACTCTGTGATAGGGGTGATATGGGAGAGACTCTGTGATAGGGGTGATATGGGAGGGACTCTGTGATAGGGGTGATATGGGAGAGACTCTGTGATAGGGGTGATATGGGAGAGACTCTGTGATAGGGGGGATATGGGGTGATATGGGAGGGACTCTGTGATAGGGGTGATATGGGAGAGACTCTGTGATAGGGGTGATATGGGAGAGACTCTGTGATAGGGGTGATATGGGAGGGACTCTGTGATACGGGTGATATGGGAGGGACTCTGTGATAGGGGTGATATGGGAGGGACTCTGTGTTTCAGGTACAAATATGTATAGTTTAGGGTCATTCAGCTGCTCTGTGCTTTACATTTCATATTCAAAACTATCAGAATCCTCATATTAAGCTTCAGCGACATCTGATATCTGAATACAAAGAAACAACTAGAACGGATTAAAGTTTTTGTTTACATTTTATTTTACAATTTCATGTCTCTCTCTCTCTCTATCGCACACAACACGTCTCTCTCTCATACACACGTGTCTCTCTCTCATACATGTCTCTCTCTCATATACACATCTCTCTCTCATATACACGTCTCTCTCTCTCTCACACACACAGCTACTAGAAGCACATTTCCTGTCCATGTTGGTCCCATTCTCTGCAGGGAATCCGCCTTTGGTTGTATGTTGTAGACATGTGTGGATTTCTATGTAGCAGACCTCGGCACACTTCCTGCTCCTGTATTGTGACAAAATCCTGAAAAGAAATCCTCGTTAGTGTGACACAAACGTGAAATCTGTCTAACGCACAGATACGATTCTGGCCGATTAACGTATATAGTCCATCATTAGTCCGGTCAGCAGGACGTGGTCCATGGTCTGTCAGTGCCAAATCCTAATTTCTTTACTGTAATGAACAGTGTTTCCAAACGACTTCTTATTATATGTTTGAAGATTCCAAACTGAATGGAGAGGTGGCCAAGGCTGCATTGGCAAACGAAGACTGTCCCCACATAGACCAGACAATAACGCCCGATGAGGGTCTGTCCTTCACCCAGTCTAGCACTCGGGAGAAAGGCGGACCCTACTTTCTCCTTTCACCTGAGGAATATCCGAGCCGGCCCGATGGAGGAGTAAGAAAGGGTAGGTAGACAAAGATAAAAGCCGCATGGTGTCATTGTAGGAACATAGTCCTCGCACTTCCACTAGACAGGCTCTCAGGTAATGCTGCATTTCTGTATAGAAGAAGTATACATTGTTACACATGTGTGCCATGGAATTAGACTAGAGACTGTTACACTCATATCCTAGCTCCATGGAGATGCAGCCTGCAAACTGTCATTGGAAGTCGATGATGCCTGGCTTGTTTACATGCATAGACACGCGCACACACACGTACATGTGTAATTGGCCCATAAAGGGAAAACACAGAGATACATACACACACATACATATACACGCACAGCATTACAAATAGCTTTATGATTACAAAAAGGACTTATATGATGCATATGGACCCAGCACATACGTATATGATCCACATTATTAATCACTTCAAGAAACAAGGTCAGTGTAAGAAATCAGTCTTTTTGGGACAATGTTTATGTCAGCTCTTGTTAAACCATTAGATGTCTGTTACAAACATTGTTATTGTTCTCATGATCCGATTCCATTGTCTGCCAATTTGTGCCCTCTGCATGTGTAAGCAAGAAAAAAACTGCATGCCGTAGCTGCAAGCAAGTGGGTGGTATCACTATGGCAACAGGAGGGCCTCAGGCAGGTGGACCGCTGCATGTGGAGCCTTAGATTGCAGCTGCCTTTCCACAGTTGCCCATGCAATGTCACAGTATTGCTTGCATAGCATATCAGGTGGTGTCATGCAAAATTTGAACACTCGATGGAATTGTGTCTCTGTTCAACCTGGCTAACGATGTAAAAGCAGATATCAAGGGAAAAAGCAATGTACGATCTTCCAGGCAATACTCAGGTGGCTCTAATGTATAGGGAGATAGTGCAGTGGAAACTAAAGAGTAGTCAAGCATGTCCATTATTAACTGTTGATTTCCTGTCAAATGCTGGGATTCTCAGTGTCTATAATGAGGAATAGCAGCAAATCTGTACTGTGTGCTACATTGAAATATCCTCTGTGACTTTCATCTTGTAATCTCTCCATAGTTTGGCTCCGCTGGATATTGTTGCCAAGTGATACGACTCTCAGCATGTAACACTGCATGGGAATTTCGCTGAAATGGCTACACTGTTGACTTCATTCTTAGTCCATTCAACTTTTTGATCCACTGCTGTACTTTGCATTCCATCTTCCTAATGAAGTTTCTAAAAAAAAAGTCATACCTATAATAACTGGGAATGTAATAGAGCGTCCTCCGGTGTCTGCATCCTGCACCTCGCCTTCTCTCTTCTTCTCTATCCCATCCATTTGTAGCATGGATCAGTATCAGAGAATGGTCTAAAAACATTTTTAATCATTCTTAACTTCATATGCTCCAGTATGTTACAGTAGCATCTTTTCGGGCATGGTGCTACTGCTAACCACTAACATAGTTGAAAATAGTGAAAAATGACCAGATGTGCGCATTACATTTTCCAGGTGGGCCATATGCTGCATGATCTCAGTATATAGGAAAAAGGGGCAATGCACCAAACACAATAGTGTCTTGCTAGTATGATGCATTTCTGTTGGCTAACATTGGATTTTACTGGCTGCTGACATATTGGAGACAATTGAAGAAGCGTTATTTCTCAGGATATTCTTTGAGCCATAGGAACCCTGCGAGAGTCTGCCCAAGCACAGTAGGATGAATTGATGCATGAGCACCTGTTAAAGTAGAAAGCAATATTAAGGTGCAATGAGTTTCTGCTGACTGCATGGACATATTAACTTGGCTCCATTGGAGAAGATATGGCTGCCTCTGCATGTGGCTCACCTTTATTTCTTCTCTCTTTATCAATTCTCATCAAGCTTGAGTTAAAAGAAGCTGGAAGAGTTTTAAGTATTGATTGTATTCTTTACAGGCATGTTTTTGCAAAGAGCATCTTGTCATTGCTAAATATGCAAACAGAGGCAGCCATGGTGCCCTGAGAGGAAGTGCTGGAGACGTTACACTCACCCGGACCCAACCTCGCATAAGGACAAACATATCTACGCCGAGCAGGTTATTACAGGACTCTTCCTCGAGGTGTCGGGTGATGTTAACTGAGATTGATGCAAGCTTTTTCTACGGCTAAAATGTAAAACTGTAGAGGAATCTCTTATTTATTTAGCATGAATTGCATGATGTAAAAAAAAGCTAAATTAAGAAAAATAGAATTGCAAAATTCTGTTGACAAATCAAAAAATACATCTATTTTCTTTTAAAGCTCTTTACTTTTACATACATTATGTAGCAAAATGTAAACATTTTAAACTGTAAAATGAATTGCTCTGGGTTGCTTTTTTGTACATGGACTAAAGCTTGCACTCCAACTGGCACTGGTCACATTGACCAGGTCTACATATGTACATCATGAATCACAAGACAAGGACCCATAGCTTGCTGTTTCCATTGGCATGCTCGTGAACAAGGAACCAGCATCTGACTTGACAACACCTGGCTTCTACTGACTGTCCATCTGAGGTTCTATTGTACTTATCAATGTATAGAGCAACATGAATATCCCTCAAAAGATTGTTCTTATTAAATAATCTATATGGATATAAAAAGAACAAAATGTGTGAATTTAATGCCGGGACTTGATGCATAAAATCAGGAAACATTTCTGTCAAAATGAGAACAAAGAACCGCATTGTATGCAATTTCATATGCCTGACGCAAAGATGCATGTGCAATGTTATGCAAAAACGAACGTGCATGAAATAAATTTTCTATCATGGTTTTACTGCCTGCTCTATACACAAAACTTCCTATGAATGCTTGTGGAGCTTGGAATGTTGAAATGACAAAGTAATACTTATTTTGTTTAAATGTTTTTTGCAATGGATTTTGTAGAAATGTCAGAATTTGTGTTACCAGGACAAACTAAGAATTAGCACACTGAAAATCTTTACTTCTTCTTGGACATTGTGCTCAGACCCAGGTAATTTCTTCAAATCCTTTTTGATCTCTCCAGTGTTGTTACTGCTGTGTACAGGTAAGATATTATCACCATAATTAATACATTGCCTTTTTAGATAGAAAATATTTACAAATCATCATGTCCATAAAATAATCTACCCCAACAGTTTGTTTACTCTTGCACTGTACAGGAGAATTTTGAATAAGATATGGCCTCACTACATACAGTCATTTATCCAACTGTCCATCCAACGCCACCGGTTTATTGACCAAATACATCCTAAATATAGATCCATTTATCCAACTGTCCATCCAGAGCCGCCATTTATAGACCGGATACATCCTAAATATAGAGCCATTTATCCAACTGTCCATCCAGAGCCGCCATTTATAGACCGGATACATCCTAAATATAGAGCCATTTATCCAACCGTCCATCCAGAGCCACCATTTATAGACCCGACACATCCTAAATATAGAGCCATTTATCCAACTGTCCATCCAGAGCCGCCATTTATAGACCCGACACATCCTAAATATAGAGCCATTTATCCAACTGTCCATCCAGAGCCGCCATTTATAGACTAGATACATCCTAAATATAGAGCCATTTATCCAACCGTCCATCCAGAGCCACCATTTATAGACCGGATACATCCTAAATATAGAGCCATTTATCCAACTGTCCATCCAGAGCCGCCATTTATAGACCGGATACATCCTAAATATAGAGCCATTTATCCAACTGTCCATCCAGAGCCGCCATTTATAGACCGGATACATCCTAAATATAGAGCCATTTATCCAACTGTCCATCCAGAGCCGCCATTTATAGACTGGAGACATCCTAAATATAGAGCCATTTATCCAACTGTCCATCCAGAGCCACCATTTATAGACCGGATACATCCTAAATATAGAACCATTTATCCAACTGTCCATCCAGAGCCGCCATTTATAGACCGGATACATCCTAAATATAGAACCATTTATCCAACTGTCCATCCAGAGCCGCCATTTATAGACCAGATACATCCTAAATATAGAGCCATTTATCCAACTGTCCATCCAGAGCCGCCATTTATAGACTGGAGACATCCTAAATATAGAGCCATTTATCCAACTGTCCATCCAGAGGCCATGAAAATGCAGACACGGGTAAGCAGCTGTTCTTATGTTTTGGTTTCATTGATTTTTGTCTTCTGTTTTTGTTTGTTTCTTTCCTTTCAGTATTCCCTACCAACAGCAGGCTGAGTCCTATCTAGAAGTTTAGATACTTCAATTATCTTTCTTTACATTTCAAGCAATATTCCCACCTTCCATCTGCGATCCCAAGACTGTCATGTGTGGTACCTTTTTAACGCTACAGAAAACATCCATTTTGGCTTTGGTAGGAAGTGAAGGCTTCTCCAACTACATACATGTCAAGGCATTGGTTTTCAGTAATACTAATAGAGGACACCTGTAATGGTATCTGTGCATCCTGAGCTCTACACATGGTAATGCGGCTCAGCAAAAGGTAAACGTTCCAGGTTTAAGCTCCATCTCCATCCTTGCAATACCTCTGTACATTCATTTCAACAGTGCAAGGTTCCTTCAAACCTGGGGCAAAGCGATGAAGTAGAGGGGGAGGATTTTTGAGTGAAGGACTCTAATGAAGGGGTAGATGGAAATTCTGCAACTGAGCAGACAGCTGTCCCAACCATTCATTAACTGGTTACATTTCACTCCTCTCCTCTGACACATGGTGAAAATCTTCCTCAGTATTTTTATGCTCCATTACTATTGAACAAAAATAGTGCTGATCCTGAAACAAAAGCTTGGGTTAAAGAAGAATTTTCAAGAGTATTAAAACCAATTAAATCTGCATATTCAAGAGTGAATAGCTTTCTTTGCCTCTCTAATGAAATACTAAAGTATTGTGAAGAGAATCTCTTCCTTAGTCCTTGTATTCCTTCCTGTCAGCTAATATCAGTTGTGGGTGATACTATTGTAGAGCTCCCTGTTTAGTGAGCATGCCTCTGGGGTGGCGGATACATCTGGGTGATGAGTCCGTCACTCTTCAAATCCAAACAAGTGGTGGAACAGGGGGACTGGGTGCAAGTCTTTAAGTCTAGGAGGCCAGGCGGAGGATGCCGTGGCCCACTACAATGCAGAGGCAGTTAGGATAACCCGGTCTGGGTTATCGTGTTTATGTTTAGTGACTAGCTGTCCGACATACCGCCTGTCCCTGCATTCCTAGTGACAGCGCTTTTCTCAGGCTCACGCATGGGGTCAGCAACAAGCTGTCAATTGTTTCATGAGGGACATCTTTAAAGTGTATCCTATCCAAAAAATAAAACTGTATAATATTAAAGTGCAGCAGTCCTTCGATGTGGTGTCTGCATTAGTTTATCATGCTTTATATCTCTTTATTTTCACCTTTGATCCTGTGAATAACACACTCTCTGTCCTAGGGTAACAATTCTCACTCCTCCACTCTATTTATGGTGGAGCCATGGTTTTCACTAAGGCTGGACTTTGAACATGTCTTTCTCTTTAATATCCATGACATGGGGGGTGGGATTAGTAGTTTACCGAGGATAGAAAACAGTGTTTTGCTTCAAGATCTTAGGGTTAGGGTTATTGGTATTGGTATTGGCAAGGTCACAGCATTTCTGGCTGGATTAACAGGTATTTTTTTGTAGTTGTTCTTAGCCTGCAAAATCGTAATGCAAGCATCATACATAAGGCTTGGTAAGCTGCAATATATTATTTGTTTTCTTTTGTCTTTAGTTATCCTTTACCGGAAATGCAACAACAGTATATAGGTTCTGACTTCATATATTCATCAAAGTGTGAAGTAAGAGTAACCAGATTATGCTTTTTCATGTTTTGGATATTGGGTTCTTTCTTCTTCTAAAACTTTGATTAACAAAGGCCAGGAATCTGTCCTTCTTCACTTGACTTATATCACTTATCATTGCATCGCCATTACTCATAGCTACACATTGTTTATTTACTATGACAGAGTGAATGTTCCTAGTCTAAGCTGAAGATACACACAGAGCCAATAGAGCACCATATCCATTCAGCTTCACCGTCAGCTGTTCTGGAAGTCTGACAATTGTCAGAATAGGTATGTTGTCTTCTAGCCGCGTCCACACATACCACGTTCATTCCACTCCCAAGATTAGACCGCATTGTCTACAGAAATAGAGAAGGCATAGATCAGCACCTGCCCATCTTTCCATGTAAAATCGGCTTTCACTATCCAGGTACGTTTCTATACTATTAGTTCTTGATAACAGATTAGTCAAAGTCCAAATGTCTGTACAAACAAAACAATCAAGTGATTAGACAATGGTCTCCTCTTGCAGTAAGTTCAGGGCCACTGACTACACAATTGGGTGATGATCATATGATGTAGAGGAGTCAGCGAGTGATCTTAGGAAAACTTGAAACAATGTCACATTGGAATGTGTTATACCTTCTACCTAGTGCCAAATGATGTTCAGATCTTCAGATAATCTGTGAAGGACTCATCCATTGGATATATCTATGTAATATACATCTCCTCATTAAGTTCTGACTTGTTTATTTTGGTTAATAATTGGGATAAAACACATTTCAGATGTACATCAGACATTCTGAATGGTCACAAAACTCTTTACTCCAAGACTTTGTTTTGCAAGTACCCCTGTTGAAGTATCAGAGTATTATTAGCATCCTGTATCATAATTATTGCTTGAACAACATAAAATTCACCAAACTCCCCAAGTTAGGGTTCCTCTCTCTATGTTGCTCTCTGGCATTCCCCTGGGTTAAGGTTCATATCTCCATATTGCTCTTTAGTGCTCCCTAGGTTCAGGATCCTTTCTCTATAAATCATCATCTGGCGCTCACAGTGTTGGAGATCCACTCTCTGCGTCACCCTCTTTGTTAGAGTTTTTCTCTCTCAATATTTCTCTTTCGAGCTCCCCAGGTTAGGGTTTTCCTTTCAATGTCATTTGTCAGAGCTCCCCTGGGTCAAGACTTCTCTCTTTGCTGATCCCTGGACCTCCTCTAAGTTTGCATTTTTAGAAGCCCTTGGGTCAGCATGCCTCTATGTGTCACTCTCTGGAGCTCCACACTACATTTGTTCTGTGCTTCTCTTAGAAGCGCCCCTGGTTAAGGATTCTTTCCAACATGGCTTTCTGCAGAGCCCCTGTGTTAAAGTTCCTCTCTGCGTTACTCTGGAGCTCAAGAGGCCTCTGCTCTCCATGTCACTCTCAGAAGCTTTCTTAGCGTACGGGTTCTCTTTCTGTGCCACTCTCTGGAACCCTCTGAGTTAAGGTTTTTCTCTCTCTGACATTTTGTTGAGCACCCCTTGGAAGGCCTTTTTTTGTTCTCGTCTTTCTGCAGCACTCTCTAGAGCTCTCCTGGGTTAGGCTTCATCTCACTGTGTCAACCTCTGGGCACCTCCTGTCCTGTACATGTTACTCCCTGTAGTCCTCCTAGGTTTAGACCCTTGTCAGTGTTGCAGTGTTCCAGTTTTGTAGATCAGGTTTCCTTCTTTCTTGCACTACAGCCTGGAAATCTTCTGGGTGACAAATTCTCTGTTTCAGTCTTCAGGTATCTCCCAGGGATTCCATTCTCAATGACAGTCTTTGGATCTCCCATGTCATCTCTCAAACT